AGTATGTTTGAATCATAGACTTGAACCAATATGTCTGAATCATAGACTTGAACCAATATGTCTGAATCATAGACTTGAACCAATATGTCTGAATCATTGACTTGAACCAATATGTCTGAATCATATGTCTGATTTCTTTTCAGATAAGTTCTGAAATAACCTGTAACTAAATCCAAACACAACACAAAGTTGCGCAGATCTGAACCAGGAGTGGAAGGACATGTACACTTGTGATATCTTTAGCTTTTCACAAAAGTGTGTATGTGTGTGTGGGCGGGGTTTAGGTAAGTGTTTTTACGCCTTTATCAACACAATTTAGATCATCTAGGAGGCGGGATTCAGTCCTGCATGCCAAGGCCAACCAGGGCTGAGAGGGATACAGTATCCCAGGGGACAGACCCGGGCTGAGAGGGATACAACATCCCAGTAGACAGACCCGGGCTGAGAGGGATACAACATCCCAGTAGACAGACCCGGGCTGAGAGGGATACAACATCCCAGCAGACAGACCCGGGCTGAGAGGGATACAGTATCCCAGCAGACAGACGGAGATACTTGATAAAAATTCTTCCTACTCAGGAATCAAACCCGGGTTCCCTGCACACATGGCCAAGCACCTATACCGCTACACGGCAGACGCCAGAACCATGCATGTATGTGCCCCAACTTTGATCTGTGAAAAAGTAGAAATATACGTAACTTCTGCCTCTCACCTGTCCGCAGTGCTGGAAGCGTCATCCTGTACACTGTTCTTTTTGCCTCTTCTAGTACCACCAATTGTTAGTACGCTTTTGAATAATGACGTGTTAGACCTAATTTGAGACAAATTACTTGTTTGACCTAATTTAATGTTTGACATAACATGCGGGACACACATTTCGAGCTAGATATAAAATGTTATGTGAAGGAAAATAAGCCAAAGAGCCACATTGGGTGCACATCTCAATAGCTCGTTGATGAAGCCACAAAATCTGGGGACAGCGGGGGGGGAGAGATAAAGACGATAGATCCAACACTAGAGCACCCGCCCACCACCCACGATCAATTTGTGGGGGGGGGGGGAGTTAATTAAAACAGTCAACACAAACACGACAATGTTCTAAACACAAACACGACATTGTTCTAAACACAAACACGACAATGTTCTACTGTTCTTTCCCTTCTTCCCAAAGAAAGTATACAGACTTAAAATGTTAAAAGCTATTCTTCAGAAGCAAAGTATACACACTTATAAGCTATCCTTCTCAA